CCCTGAAACAGACACACACGTCAGCCTCAAGCTTCACAACATGTGTGTGTGTGTGTGTGTGTGTGTGTGTGTGTGTGTGTGTTCACCGTAGGGGCTGCGTCCGTGCGTCCTGCACAGCGAACAGTCAAATCCTTCGTCAGCAGCGGCCTCCACGTCCTCCTCAGTGGTCAGACCCTGACACGTAGCGTGGACCCACCTGCGTGCGCACACACACACACACACACACACACATTAGCCGATGGTGACCCCGGGCCTGACCGACGAACCCGCCGAGACCCCACACCTGAGCGGGTGTTACCTGTCGCACTGCTGGCACTGCAGGATGAGGTCGTCCTGCAGGTACGCTCGCTGGCAGACGGGACAGTGGCTTAGGCTGCAGCACGGCCCGCACAGGCTGTAGTTACTCTGCCACTCGCAGCGCAGCCCGGGGGAGGCGGAGCCACACTGCACACACCACACACACCTGAGGAGAGAGCAACCAGCACCCGTCAGCTCTTACCTTTCGTGTTATGTGTCATGTGATTAGAGTCTGAGCTCTGGCTGGCTGAGGGTTGGTGGAACCTCGTGTCCTGTCATGTGACATCAAACATGAGGAAACGCTCTCAGCCAATGTGTTTCTTGGTTGCTATGGTGATGTCGTCTCACTCACATGAGGAGACACGTTTAGTCATGAGGGAGGGCTGATCAGCTGATCTGACACACAGGTGAGCGACAGGTAGACCCACCATTTGCACTTCCAGGCTCCTTTAGGCACCGTGAGGAGGGGCGGGTCCAGGCAGTAGGTATGGTAACTGATATCGCAGTCATCACATAGCAACAGTCGTCCAGGGTCGCTGGCCTCACCGCAGGCTTCGCACACCGTGCACTCCAAACAGCGCCACCCTTTGGTCAGAATCACCCGAGTGATCTGCAGACAGCACACAAACAGTGAGCCGGGGGCAGGAAGTAATCAGATTACAGGTAGGCGAGTACTGACCTTTACGTTGACGCAGTAAGGATGGTAACACTGTCCACACTGAGAGCACGCCAACAGCCGACCTTCAGCGCCCTGCCCGAAACTGCCACACACCACACACATGTCCTGCACGCACACACACACACACACACACGGGTTAACTGCTGCATGTCACATGATCACTGCTTACACACGTGATGTCACACGCAGGTGAGCACACCTGTCTGAGGGTGAAGTGGTCCGACGTGGAGAACATCACCACGGTGTTGTGCATCGAGTTCTCCTCGTCCTCCTTTGCTGTGAACGCCTCCACATACGCAGCCTGACGCACGCACACGCACACACACACACACACACACACACACACACACACACACACACACACACACACACACACACACACACACAGGTAATCAGTAATCTGTGATCATCTATCATGGACATATCAGTGTGCAGGTGTGCTCTTACTCCCGGTGACACAGTCACGCTGTCCTGAGTCTTCAGTCGGCTTCTTCCTCTCCCCCCTCTTCCTCCGATGCCGCCTCCTCTGGACCTCCTCCTGCCCGGGAACCCGGAACCACGACCCTGAGGAGAGGAGACAGGCAGGGGGAGGAAGGAGGAGAATTAGGAGGAAATCCATGATGTCACTGGTAAGATCAATTTCAGAACTTCCAAGGAGTCAGGAATCAGCTCCACTAGTCCCCGAACACCCCACACTCAATCTAGTCACGCTGGCGACAGTATAGCCTCTGTGTTAGTCTCTTGTATTTACACCCGCTGCTAAAGGTGCCGCCACTCGCACAGTACGGCCACATTAAAATGGCGGGAAAAAGCGACACAATCGTGCGTTAAAAGCAGCTGCAGCCGCGTCCTTCTGAGGATTCACTTCCTGAGGACGTCACGGAAAACAAACATGACAGAACGATCAGACCCGCAGGCGCGTTTGATTGGAGACCTTTGCAGCCCAGCAGGGTGGAAGCACACACTCTCTCACGCACACAGGCAGCACAGCGTGCGCTCGTTTCCCACACCCACAGCAGAGACAGCGTTAGTAAGCTGCTGTTAGTCACAGCCGGTGACAGTTAGGGTGCACTTTTTTACCACTCTCATGCTCCAGAGCAGGGAGTCCTGCAGGCGGGGCTTAGGGTCCCACCCTCCCTCTCCCGTGGAATCCTGGGAGGACGAGAGGGGGCTGACCGCCCTGCGACTACTCCAACACGTGCCCTGAATGAGAGGGAGGAGGAGGAGAAGAGAGGGGGAGGTGGGGACAAAATGCAGTAACATAAATGTAACGGCCACAAAATGAAAAAAGAACTCATGACGACACAATGTTACCATGGCAACCACACACACTGGGTATTGACGGCAGCCAACGCGCCGATCGAACAACCTCGATGTGCACAGAACAAACACGCCGCGATCAATGACGAGTGTGTGAATGTGTGCACGTCTGTGTGAGGGCGTGTGTCAGGCATGCCCTGCCGGGCCGACAGGTGAGGATGAGGATGAAGCACACTGATGGTAACCTGCTTCTCATCACGCCCGTGGAGGTGCGAGCTGATGGAGGCAGGAATAAAAAGCAGCAGCGTTGAGAGCGCTCCTGTGTCGTCTGACTGGCTACAGAACTTGACTATAATGTGTCACTCAGGAGGAGGAGCTTGTTAGAGACAAGAGGTTTGTGGAATTTCACCTCCAGCTTTTTCTTTTTAACAATCGATATGTAAAGGACACACACACACACACGCACACACACACACACACACGCGCACACACACGCGCACACACAAACACACACACACACACACACACACACACACACACACACACACACACGCACACACACGCGCACACACACACGTCAAAGGTCACCAACCTGTTTCACCCGGGCTCTGCCAGGAGAGAACTTCCTCTTAGAGATGGCAGGCTTCCCCATGCCGATTTTTGGGGTGAGGGAGAGCACGGTGGTGGGAGGAGCCTGAGGTTGCACACAGAACAAAAGGAGAAGTGAAGAGGAGCAAGAGTGAGCGAAGAAGAGGAGGAGGCTGCCGCTTACCTTAGAGAGAGGTGGAGACTCTCTAGCTAGGGGGGAAGTCCTGAGAGAAGGCAAAGGCGGGGTGAGCGGCGGCGGCGTGATGGGCACTCTTGCAGGGGAGGTCTCTGGGGAGGCCTCAGTGGAGAAGGGAGACTGTCTGAGGCGGATGGAGAGGTCATCAGACAGCCGGGGGGAGCAGGGAGGAGGCCTCAGGGTGCGACCCTTCCCTCTGCGCAGCAGCGGCGATGAGGATGGCGAGGACAGGTGCAGAAGGGACGGGGGAGGCGATGATGTCATCAGCTCCATCACCTCTCTGTCTAAAGAGGGGTCCAAGTCCAGCACAGGGCTCACTGGCTCCTCCTCCATGTCTGAGTGCTCCTCAGTGATTGGCTGACCATCTGACGGCTGAACTGTTTCAGAAAGATCCTCCTCCTGTGAAGGCTCAGCTTGTGATTGGTGCTCATCTTCGGTGGGTTCTGTTACCAAAGCAACAGGTTCATATAGGATCTGTGACTGACCCCCATCACACTCTGATGTCATGTGACAAAGAGGCGATTGGTCCTTCAGCCCCACCGTATGTCCAAAGTCACTGGGAAGCTTTTCCTCCTGTGGGAGGCCCTCTACAATGGTGGGCTGGGAGTGACGGTGGGGGGAGGCCTCCAGGGAGCCAGCTCCCACAGATGGAGGTGATGAGGGCAAAGGGAAGGACACAGGTTGCTGCGTGGGTACGGGGGAGGCGGGGCACTGAGTCTCCTGGACTCCTGCAGAGACACAAACATGGACACATTAGATACTGATGCAGGTTCAGGATCTTCCTGGTTACAGTCACAACGATGGAGCGGGCGGAGCAAGCCTGGGGAAAAGGGAAGTCACGGAAAAATGTAAACATTTAAGAGTTTGGATTGGTTATGTTTCCGTGTTTGCAAAGCAAACCTTTAAGACCGCTGGAGCTACTGGGCAGAACCTTCTGGTTTTGTTCCTCTCCTCCCTCGCTCCTCTCCACAGGCTGCTCCTCTGCTAGGCTCTCCTGTGATGTGTGTTCAGGCTGCTCCTCCTGCTGCTCCTCTGTGCTCAGTGTGTCTGGGTGAACAAAAAGAGCAGATAACCTCAGAACAGATCGTGTGTTAATCGGGAACTTTGAGTCACTCGCCCTCATACTTACCCATGGTGCCATCAGACATCCCTTCAGGTCCAGGACCTTGTTCTGGCTTCACGGGACTAACAGGACCAGGACTTGGGCTGGTTATTGAGGGAGCAGGGTTAATTGAATCACAAGCAGGACTGGCTTCACAGTGGAACGGGCTGGCAGAAGCAGGTCTGACACCAGGCTCTGCCTGCACAGGACTCACGGAGCCTGGACTTGTGGTGATCTGTTTAAAACCTGGATCCATATGAACACCTGTAGAACTTTGACCTGGGCTGTGTAAGGGACTACGCTGAACCTGCAGAGTGTCAAAAGAGACTGTTTGAGAAGGGCTAATCTGTGAGGGGGCGGGGCATGTGGGACTAAGAGGTGCCTCATTGGGAGAGGTTGAGCTAGGCATCGCAGTGTTATCCTGAGTGGGACTAGCATGGACAGGGCTAGCAGGACTCAGACTGGCCTGAGTGTAAGTAGCATCAGTGGGGATGAGGGGGCTTGGTGAGGCAGTGCACTGGTGGTTTTCTTTGGGGACCACTGCAGTACCAGCTGGGGACTGGCTGACTTGGTTCTGACTAATCTGGCTGGGGCTAACAGCAGCAGAGTCGTCGGGTACAGAGGCAGCAGGACTTGTTTGTCTGATACAGTCTGCAGGTTTATCAGCACCCATATCAGGCTGAGCCCCACTGGAAAGAGCAACTGTGTCCACATCAGGACTAGTGGGGCTCAGTGATGCCTCAGTAAGGCCAGTACTACTTTCAGTGTCAGGAGCCAGACTGTGAGGTGGGCTAACACTGGCAAAAGCAGCATGTGCAGGGCTGCTATGAGTTGTGCTAGCTAATGAGGAAGTTTGTATCTGCACTGGGCCTGAGTGAGCTACTACTACATGAGCAGGACTAGCCTGACCAGCAGGACTAACTGGGCTATGACTGGTGTGGACATCAGCTACACTAGCAGAACAGGGATATGTTTCAGCACGAACAGGACTCCTCTCTGGGCCGGTATCACTCAGTGTACAGTGTGGAGGACTTGAACTACCAGAAGCTGGTGGAGGGCTTGACGGCTGTACTGCAGCCAGGTGTGAAGTACTGAAGGAAATCTGGATATGTGGCCGACTTGACTGACCAGGTGGACTTTCTGTCTCCTGAGCATGCTCATGACCTGACAAAACAATGCCACCGGTGACTTCTGAGTAAGCAGGGTCAGGCTGAGGACTGTCTGGTTGACTGGGACTAGGTTCTGACTGAACACCATCACTTGGCTGGATGGTAGCTACCTCCATCTCCTCATCCTGACAGGAGGCAAGGTGGATGGGTTCAGCCAGCACTGCTGATGGGCTACTCTCCCCTGGCACAGGGCTAGGGTGGCCTTCAAGACACATGGTTGGGCTTGTAGGCATCTGGTAAGCACGAGTGGGGCTGGCACAAGCTGAGCTGGCCTGGTTATGTGTGGGGCTAGCTCCTTCAACAACTTCCATGCAGAGCGATGGGGTGTTGTGAAGATTCTGATGAATTAGGCTAGCTGGGGGAGGAGCTTCCTCCATTTCACCGGCACAAGGTGAGCAAGCTAGGCTACTGTGTTTGGCTGAAGTGCTAATGTGAAAAAGGCTTTCTGGTGTCTGGAAATCTAGGACATGAGGGGGACTGGAATGATCGGGACTGAGCGTGCTACTTTCAGGGGGCACTGTGGCCAGGCTAGAGGTGTGGTTAAGGGGAGGAGGGTTATTTTCCAGTGTTTGGCCATCAGGGCTAGAAGGGCATTGTTTCAAGGAGTCAGGTTGTGTGGCATGGGTGGACTCCTGTGTGAGTGTTGAATGTGCAGCAAGTTCTAAAGTATGTAAGCTAAGCTGTGAAGACCGGAGAGCCTGAGCAGGGCTGGCAGGTTGGGACAGACTGCACCGTTTAGGTCTGAGTGGTGGTGACGATGGGCTACATGGAGCTGAGGCGTATCTTGCTGCCGATGAGAGGTCCTGGTCCAGTGTAGACGTGTCCTGTGCAGCCCCATACTGCAGAGTAGGGCTGCTCAATCCAGGGCTCTCCTGGTCCAGTGTAGATTCAGTGTCCTGTGAGGGGTTCCTCATGCCAGCTTGCACAGGACTACAGTCCGTTTGTAGAGCACTGTGCTGAGGCTGTGAGGCTGTGAGGCTGGGACTATGTGATCCACTGAGCTGCATAGCATTGTCCTGTGCAGGACTGTCTGGTGGAAGGCTGCGCCGAGCCTGCTCTGTCCCCAGCTCCACCCTGGGAGGAGTCAGCCCTGATTTGATAGGACTGTGAGGTGAAGGGCTGTGTAGAAAATGTGCAAGGGTACAAGCCATGGGACCACCCTGTACTGGACTCTGCTGAGATTCTGTGTCCATGAACTGATCCTCTGTGGAATTCTGCTCAGTACTTTCCTCAAGTTCTGCCAGATTAGAGTGAGACTGTGCAGGACTCTGCTGAAGGTGTAACGGGGTCCAGCTTTTCTGGTCATCTGTGGAATCCAAGTGGGATGCTGAGTAACTTTCATGGGCCTCTGCAAGATCAGGGCAAGACGGTGAGGAGCTTATTCTAAACTCTGCCACATCAGGATGGAGCTCTTCTTGATTACGATGGGATGCTGTGTGACAAGAGGGAGATGGCTCGAGTTCTATGACAGAAGGTGCAGTCAAAGGTACAACGTTTTGTTGGGGCTCCATGGGATCAGGATGGGAAATTACAGCACTCTGTGGGAGCTCCGTGACAGATGGTTGAGGACTTTGTGGGGGTTCAGTGTGAGATTGTGCAGGACTTGACAGGAGATCTTTGGGAAATGGTGCATTCTGTGGGAGCTCTGTGGAATCAGTGTGAGACAGAACAAGAATGTGCTGGAGCTCTGCTGAAGGTGATGAGGAACTTTGTTCTATGGGAGATGATGGATGACCTTGTTGAAGCTCTGCATTTTCAGATGGTGCAGGACTTCGGAGTTCAAGCGTTTGTAAGGATTTTGGTTGAAGCTCCGTGGAAATAGGCTGAGGTGGGAGCTCTGTGGGAGATGGTGGAGGATTTTGGTGGAGCTCTGTGGGAGATGGTGGAGGATTTTGGTGGAGCTCTGTGGGAGATGGTGGAGGATTTTGCTGGAGCTCTGTGGGAGATGGTGGAGGATTTTGGTGGAGCTCTGTGGGAGATGGTGGAGGATTTTGGTGGAGCTCTGTGGGAGATGGTGGAGGATTTTGCTGGAGCTCTGTGGGAGATGGTGGAAGATTTTGTTGGAGCTCTGTGGGAGATGGTGGAGGATTTTGGTGGAGCTCTGTGGGAGATGGTGGAGGATTTTGGTGGAGCTCTGTGGGAGATGGTGGAGGATTTTGCTGGAGCTCTGTGGGAGATGGTGGAGGATTTTGCTGGAGCTCTGTGGGAGATGGTGGAGGATTTTGGTGGAGCTCTGTGGGAGATGGTGGAGGATTTTGCTGGAGCTCTGTGGGAGATGGTGGAAGATTTTGTTGGAGCTCTGTGGGAGATGGTGGAGGATTTTGGTGGAGCTCTGTGGGAGATGGTGGAGGATTTTGCTGGAGCTCTGTGGGAGATGGTGGAGGATTTTGGTGGAGCTCTGTGGGAGATGGTGGAGGATTTTGGTGGAGCTCTGTGGGAGATGGTGGAGGATTTTGTTGGAGCTCTGTGGGAGATGGTGGAGGATTTTGCTGGAGCTCTGTGGAATCAGGCCATGATGGTGCAGGATCTTGGAGCTCTTTGGGAGATGGTGGAGGGCTTTGCTGCAGCTCTGTGGAAAGAGGGTGAGATGGTGTAGGACTGTCTGGGAGTTCTTTGGGAGACGGTGCAGAAAATTGTTGGTGTTCTACAGGAGTAGGCGAGGAACTTTGTTGGAGCTCCATGGGAGATGATGCAGGACTTTGCTGGAGGTCCTTGAGAACAGGGCTAGATGGTAAAGAACTCTTCAGAAGGAGTTCAGCAGAAGGAGGGAGCTCTGTAAGAGCTAGTGAGGAACTTTGCTGGACTGCCACAGGATACGGGTGAGATGGTGGAGGACTTTGTTGGAGCTCTGTGGGATCAGTTTGACATTGTGAAGGGCTTTGTTCCAACTCCATGCTCCATCCACTTTGTGGGAGAACTTTGGGAGTTTCTAGGAGTTTGGCAGAAACCGGGTGACATAAAAGACTTTCTTGGAGTTCTGTGGACTTTGGGAGAGTTGGTGGAGGACTCTGTTGAAGCGTGGCTTCAGGCTGAGATGATACAGAACTTCCTTGGAGTTCTGTGGACTCAGGGAGAACTGGCAGAGAACTCTGTTGTGTCTCCATACCCTCAGAATGAGACGATAGAGGACTCTGTTGGGGTTCACTGGCTTCAGGGTGAGATGTTGTAGAACTCTGTTGGAGCCCTGTAGACTGAGGAAGAACTGACAGTGGATTATTCAGGAGCTCCTGGGAGTCGGTGTGAGATGACGTAAGACTTGGTGGTGATGGTGCACTGAGGGACTTTGTTGTTCTCTGTGGCGGCTCCTCAGGGACGAGTTGACCAACAGGACTGGCCGGTGGAGCCTCTGTGCACGTTGAGACCGACGGCTGTGGAATGCTACTGGGTGGAGTCTGTGAGGGGCTAAGGGCGGCAGCTGATGCCAATGTGGGACTGTGTGGGTTTGGCTCCTCCTGTTGAGGTCTGCACGTGGAGCAGATGTACACTTTGGACCCCACCTTGCCCTCCCCGGCCTGGATGCTGCAGTCTGCATGGACAAACCTGCAAAACAAAATAGTTTTGTTGTTTTCTCTTCATCACTGTCAAAATAAAAGCATATTTTAATAAAAGCTACCACCAGTGGTTTTAAACCTTTGGGACAGCCCGCCACAGAGGCCCACAGAGGCTGTGCAGTGAGGGCACAAAAGTAACTGAAGTTCATATATGAGAACCACTGGATTCCTCTTTCACAATAAAAGCCATGTTAGTTCTCTTCAGTTCAGGGATTTTATTGTGAAGCAGCCTCAGTGAAACAGATGGTGCTTGTGTACCTATAGCAGCAGACACAGGTCACGCACTCCTGTGGTGTGTAGAGGTCGGGGGTGTGGCCACAGAGAAGGCAGGGCAATGCTGGGTCACACGACTCGCACAGAAACAGGTGATTGGCCCACTGGCCTGATGACCTGACACCACAGCGGCAGCAGACTCTGCAGTTCTGGAGAAGATGAGGGGTGGGAGGGGTTTGTGAGGGTCATCCAAAGTTCAACACACAGCAGTGTGTGTACGTGTGTGTTTATCTCACCTTGCAGCTCCAGCCGGTGCTCGGCGTGTGATCCAGAGGTGGTGTGAGACAGTGTGTGTGGTAGGCTTTATCGCAGCGCTGACACACCAATAACGCAGCTTCATCGCCTTGCAGCCTGACACACAGAGAGCACAGGTGGAGGTTCACACTGAGGACACGCCCTCTTTACTCCATCTTCAAATACCTGCTCACCCCAGTCAATAACTCTGCATGTGTGTTACCTGCAGCTCTGACACACGCGACACTGAGGACACTGCCAGCCGGCCCGGCAGAAAGGGGAGGGGGCCACAGAGGGGTCCACGCAGCTGCCATGGTAACGGTTACCACAACAACAGCACATTAACAGGCTGCCAAGCTCACCGCCGCCAGAGCACAGAGCACAGGGTGGCGAGGACCCTGAGGAGACATGATCACGTCACGTTATGACATCACAACCTCACACCCGCTTCAGTCGGCGCCTCTTACCTGCATGTGCGTGCCTTGTACACAGTGTGCGCCTCTGGTTCCAGTCCAGGTGGGCTCCGGCAGCAGCAGCGCAGGGGAAGTGGTAGCACCGCCCACAGTCCATCTCCTGACAACGCAGCGAAGCTCCGAGCTGCCGGCAGAACGCGCACACCTGGACAGGTGAGAGATAGATGGGGTTTAGGGAGGAAGCTGTGGGTAAACCTTTGTATTCTCCTATTTTATTTTAGTCTGGCTCACAGACCCAGGAACCGAGCGCTTCAGCTGATGCACAGTATTCATCTACCTGAGCTACACAAGGAGGAGGGGCTACTGACCAGACGCCGTGAAAACCCACCTGTGTGCTTCCTGTGTCGATGGCTTTGTCCACGTAGAGCAGTGATTGTCCCTCGCCTCGACACACCCCCTCTGACCAAGTGGCACACTGCAGGTGAGCACAGCACTGACCTGTACACGCACACACACAGGAGGTTTAAAACACACACACACACACACACACACACACACACACACACACACACACACACACACACACACACACACACACACACACACAGAACAGGATGCGGAAGAGGAGGAGGAGGTACCTGTGGGGTCAAACAGTGATTGGACGTTGATGTCATGAGGAAGGCCGATGGGTCCAAGCTGCTTAAGGAACTCTGAGGAAGACTCTGAAACAGCAGCACACAGTGAACAGTCAAACATCAACAACAGCGATCAGGTTGGAACTGTTTCAGTGAACGGGGAGTACTCACCACACTGTTCTGGACTGCAGCACCTGCGCACACACACACACACACACACACACAGGTCTATGGTTAGCTCGTGACTGTGGTGTCTCTGGAAGGAGAGGGGAAAGAGGAAGTGATGTCACTTACGTGGCCGGGGCTTGGCTGCCGCGGTAGCAGTGGTCGTGGCAGTCGTTGTCTCGGTCAGAGGAGGCGCGGCGATTGAGGATGTGGAGCGGGATGTAGCCGGGCGTCGGGCCGAACACCACCAGCCGGCCCTGGCCCAGAGGAGGCTCGTCGCCGTGGTAACAGAAGGCACACTGCTTCAGCCTGGGGAGAAAAAAACGATGCGTTCAGGAGGTGAGGCGTCACCTGACAGATGACACGGACATTTATCTGCTTCAATCAGGTTCATCACAAAGTCACGTCAGATCTGACTGGAGACATTAAATCTGGAGCCTTTCAAAACAAAAGCCTCCCCGGTTTGCCTGCTGAGTGCCGTTGTGGGTGTGCAGGGCGGTCCACAGGCACTCACCTTTTTTTGGTGTGTCCCAGGCTGGGGGTGGGCGAGCCCCCGGAGTCCTCCGACAGAGACCGCTGGAACAGCGGGGACAGCGAGTCCTCGTCCTCCAACCGCAGACAGGGGGACACTGGAGGACTGGAGCGGGGACTGACGGCCGGACTCTGCTCCACGGGGCCGGCCCCGTCCTCCTCTACTTCTATGGGAACCAGGCTGCAGTCCACATCCATAGGGGTGGGGCTGTGACTCGGACTGGGCTGGTCTTCCTCCACAGGATCAGGATCAGGAACAGGATCAAGATGATGGGATTGGGATGGAGGGCTGGAGGGGGGGAGAAGAGGGCTAGAGGCTAGGGGCGGAGCCTCTGAGTGGAGTCTGTCCTCCACCTCCCCCTCCTCAGCACTGGGAGCCAGCTCAGGGTCGGGGGGCACCGGTCCTGGATCCGGGTCAGGATCAGGATCAGGATCTGGACTGGGCTCGTCCTGGGCAGGTTCAGAGCTTGTTTTGGATTTTCTCCTGGAGGTGGAGCGCTGCCGCCGTGTGGTCTGAGCCTTCACCTCTGTGGACACGCACACACACAGTCACAAACATATGCAGGACACAAGAGGTGCATTGTGGGTAACATAGGCACCATCACACGTTCTTAATCTCCAGCATGACACCATGTTTTATGTCAGAGCGGGTGAACAGCACTGGTGGAGGTGTAGATGCCCTCGTGTGGGCGTACCTGAGCAGGTGAGGTTCAGGCTACGTCTGCACGTACACGACGTTTTCGATCACTGAAAACTTTTTAAAAACTCTGTTTTTGTGTTTACATGTGGACGAGGAAAACAGAGATTACTTACGCAACGTCAAATGTTTGCATCCTTTTTGACGTCATACAGTGCGCCACGTTATTGTTTACATGAGACGAATTTCTACAACGGTGGATAGAAACAAAACGCTGCTGTTAATCTGACTGTCTGCAGTTTTTACACACTCACACAAACACAGAGGCGTCAGAGTGAACTCCACCCAACACAGACGCTCTCTCAGCCCAAATCCTGACATCGGTTTTGATTAAATTTAAATGTTTTAAATTAGAACGTATGTGTGCTTTCTGTTCAATCCTGAGTTGTGAGTCTACACCAGCTAAAATACTGTTTTTTAGAGGTGGGAATCACCATACATCCCACGATACGATATTATTGCAATTTTTTAAAATATTTTGCGATATTCAGATTCTGTACATAAAGTTAAACTTTATCAATATTCATTTTATCTAATATCAAAGTCTCACACTCAGTCTTTCTCTCATTTCAGTTTTATTGTTGACAAACTGAACGGTTTGTATTACAGTCTAGTCCAACTTAGCCGAATGCAACCATCTGGTACAATTAGAGATGGACCGATCCGATATTACGTATCGGTATCGGTCCGATACTGACCTAAATTACTGGATCGGATATCGGAGAAAAATAAAAAATGTAATCCGATCCATTAAATATCACGAAAGCACCTCACAAAACTTGCAACACGCCGTAACTCACCTCAGGTTAGCACGTCGGAGCAGTATGTATCACGTGAGAGCGGCTGTGGCATGCGGGACCTGTCGGTGGTCTGGATAGCATTTGGAGCTTCGCTAGCAACCCGGCATTTCATCTCCGACAAAGTTATCCCGAGAGAAGTAAAGCAAGTGTGTAAGTCCATCTCTGAATGTTTGTAAAGCATTCCTGCGTTAAGCTTAACGAGCGACTGCCTCTCCTGCTGCTACTTCAATCATGAAACTGCTTAATGATCAGCTGATCGGCTTTTCTGTCGCGAGTCCGTCTGTCTTGTTTGTTTTTGGCCCACTTTGCACCAGAAAGAGGAAACCAGCGGCTGAACAACAGCAGCACGTTTAAGCTTGATCAGCTGTTGTTAGAATTTATTTAATATTACTTTCTACACCAGGATCTTTTTCTACGTAGCTGACGTAACTGTGCAGGGGCGGATCTAGCAAAGTTTAGCCAGGGGGGCCGATAGGGCATTAACAGGGAAAAGGTGGGCACCAAGACATACTTTTCTTTCTTATTCTCATTTAAAATGTCTAGCTTTTAATAAATAATTATCTGACACCCAAAGTTTTAATTTGATGTAAAATTAATAGAAGTCAATTACTGTATATAGTGACTATTAAGTCTAATATACCCTAGTAAGCTATAGTACTTTTTCCTTTGGGAAGGTACCATCTGTGCAGTCTGCAATTTTGTTGAAGAAAGATGTTGAATCTATTTAATATTTCTTGAAAAATAATTGATTTCTGTGCATTTTTTTTCACACTGCATCAAATTAAGGTTGATTACGTCGATTAAGCATCATGAGGTGGAGCGTGAGGGGTGGTTCCCTATTTTTTATTTATTTATTTTTGTTGTTGCTGGGAGTTGGAACCCTATTAGTTAGGTTGCTTAATATTTACACTAAGTACTCTTTAAAATACCAGAATAGGGAGGATGGTGTAGGTGTAAGTTTATTAGATTGATCAGTATTGCTGAACTATGAAACATTTTTTTTTTTGCATACAGGTATAACAGAATAGCTTTAGTGTAGTTGTTGTTTTAAACTTGAGTATGAACTTATACAAAATGCAGCAAGATATTTAAAAAACAGTTGTGTTGATTAAAAAACACTATATCGGATTCATATCGGTATCGGCAGATATCCAAATTTATGATATCCGTATCGGACATAAAAAAGTGGTATCGTGCCATCTCTAGGTACAATTATAGCTATTCTGAACTATGCAATATGAAAACTATGCAGCCCCTTCAGCAACTGAAGAATTTGAAAGTAAATTAAAACAAAATATAATTTTACATTAAATAAAAAAGTTTTAAACTTAATTAAAATAAAACATGTCTTAAATTAAAATAAGTAAACTGTCATGTTTATTGCTGCCAAAAAAACAGTTAAACACATTTGGACAGTGTCAGGATTTTTGCTCAGAAAAAGGATCAACATGCTCTGAAGTCAGAGTTCCAGTCCACAAAAACTTTTTTTGTAACAAAATATCGATTTCTGCCGTCCCTGTATTGATACATTATTAGCAAACAAAATATCACGATACCACACAGTATCGATTTTTTCCCCCACCCCTACTGTTTTTGGATATTCACATTTGAAACAAAATTAGCTGCCTTTCGAGAAAAACAAAAACTTTCCAGAAGTCCTTGAAACCCGTTTCCTCTTTCCCTCCCAGGCTTCGAGACTTCTGATTGGCCAACATTTGTACACGGCTAGGATTTGGCATGTTCTTGACAACATTTGACTGCGTTTTTGGCGGTTACATGTGGACAGGATTCTTTTAAAAACGGAGAATCTCAGTTTTCAGAAATAGCCGTGTACGTGTTGATGTAGCCTCCAACACTCAGACCTCGTAGCCTCAAACACAGACATCCAGCTGGTTCTACACACCTGTCTTCTGGAGGGGCTTCGTCTCTGTGGCATCCATGCTCTCTTCATCCTCTACCTGAGCTCGTCCTCGGCTCCGCCCCCTGCGTGCACGCACACACACACACAGAGCAGTTAGAGGTTAACACAGTGAAGGAACAGCATTAACCCTCTGGATCCTCCTCCAGCTGTGTCCCCATTGAAGCCATTGCAGCACATCTGGATCCCTTCGATGTGAGCGCCATGCCTGACTTGTGTGTTACAGCAGGAGGAGATCAGCTGCTGCGTTACATCATCACCCGACTGAAACGAGCATCAAAAAATAAAAAAGAAAAAAGAAAATGTCAATGAAATCAGGAAAACAACAGTTAGCACCCGACGCTGCTTTCTCACAGCTGTTTGACTCCGCCCACAGAAACAAGGACGGCGTTGGCTCCTCAGACAGCTGCCTGAAGGTCCTGATGAAACGCACGTGTAGCCCAGCAGGTCACAGCTCAGACTCACGAGTGCTTTAACCGCAGAGGCCCGATCAGCCTGTGGCGGTGAGGGTCCTCACAAAGACAGAATTACAAACGTGTGTGTGTATTCGTTCTAAGCAGTTGGCTAATGAGCATCAGGAAACACCTGAATCAGGTAAACATGATGACATCACAACAGAGATCTGTGTGTGTGGCAGGAGGTAAAACCAGGAGCCAGCACGTGCCCCCTGTCAGACTCCCTCGTTACCCAGCATGCAACTTCCTACTTCCTCTCCAACACACACACCTGTATATTTGTCTCTGTGAGGACTCTTCCCTCCACAGACTGAATCTAAGCAGCAAACACACACAGTCAAAGTTTCAGGACCTCCAGCATCACTTCCCCTGCACTGAGTGTGGATCAGGTCCAGGCTCGCCCTGCTGGATGATTCTGGGTCCACCTCAGGGCGATCGCGCTGCTAGCTTCCACACATTTCTGACCCTCTGACTCAAACTCCAGACCTCAGATGTGCTTCTCTGTCCTAAAATAAGGAGGCTGTTACTCAGTTACTCTGAAGTGAAAATGGAGCGCGGTGGTTTCTAAACACAGTTAATGTCGTACTTTTACATCATCGCCGTGCTGCAGGTGGCGTTAGCCTCGTGGGACCACACAGAGCTGTTGCCGAGCTGCTCGGCCTTCTTACAGGTGTCGATTGTGGCCTGCGGTGGTCTGCACCATGCTGGATCAGGAACGTGAAGCTCTAAAACATCAGTGCTGACCCTGCTCTGACTCCAGGATCCTCCCCTCTGACTCACCTGCTTCATTTATGCAGAAATACCAAACATGCAGCTGCTAACCTGCAGCCACGTTGTTCAGCTGGAGGAGGCACCACGGATCAACCTGCTGCAGGAACAGGTGAGCACACCTGAGCACACACTCACATCACACACACACACTTACTTCTTTCTTGATTTGGGGGGCGGAGGGGGAGGAGGTGGTGGAGGAGGAGGCGGGGCAGCAGGTCCAGAGCGCCCGCTGCTCCCATCTTTCCTCGGTCGCCCACGGGGCCGCCTCTCAGGGGCGGGGCTAGAAGCAGTGGCTTTGGCCAGCTGAGCGCTGCGGCCAGCCCGAGTGACGGGAGGGGGTGGCCCTCTGTCCCGAGGCTCCTGAGGCTGAGCCTCAGATGGCATTCTGGGTAAAGAAAGAGAGAGAGGTGAGGAACAGGGTGGAGCTGGGATTTATGCTTCCCCTTTAAACCCACACTACACATAAGCCACGCCCACAAACCCTCTGAAACCTGACTGCAGCCCGCCACCTTCTTCCTCTTCTACTGTTACTTTTGCAACAGGAAGCTGGAAGAGAACAAATAAACAAGAGAAGAGAAACTGTACCGCCCCCTGGTGTTTGGGCGGTGAACTGCGGAACACAGACGCTATAAACTCAGGACAGCCGCACAGCCATCAGGTGTGTCACCTGTGTGTGGTACAGTGTGTTCACACGTGAGCGCAGCCGATGCATAAAACGAGTTTCCTCACGTGAACGCTCCACAGCTGACCTGCTATTTCACACGAGAACAAGTCACACCTCAAAGTTTACAAAGCTGATGTAAAGGACTCAAAGCTTCCAGGCACGACAACGCACAGACACACAGCCAGATGTTGGACACCTGCAGGGACTCCCCCAGGAAGAGCAGCAGCTCGGTGTGTGAGGTCACACAGAGAGGGCGCGCTGTGCGTCCTCTGAGCTCAGGTGAAGTACAGACGCCACGAGGACGATTCAGCAGCTCCTAAACGCTGCGCGACCAAACTTGAGGATCAGGTGACGCTCAGGTGTGCTGCATTAACACACCTCAGAGGTCAAAGGTCAGACTGTTCGCAGAGCCTCCTACAGAACGAGGAGGACGTGAACAACGATGGGAGGAGCTAACCAATACCAGCACGGTGCACAGCGAGCTACAGACCCTCCCACAACCTGTCGTAAGGAAGTTCTCAAAAACCAATCAGGAACACAGAGTTTTCCATAGCGTTTCCATAGCGACCGGTGTCTGGGCCTCGGCAAGCTAACCCTGCAGCGCTGATGGTCACATGACTGCAAACCCTCTACACGCAGACACGCTCAGTTTAAACCTCGAGCTTGTGATTCACACGGCCGCCGCCACACGCCCTCGCCGCCACACGCCCTCGCCGCCACACTCTCCCGTCTGTTTCTCTGCCCATTAACAGCTATGGCGCCATCATCACACACGGATGTAAGCGGCCCACGTAGTGCCGCTCAGCTCACCCTAAAGTCAGAACGGCAGGTGTAAGTGGTGTTTGAAGCAGCAGGTGAGGTTAAAGCGCCCAAAAGGCGGGCCGAGGGGCGACTGTTACTGACAAGAAAAGCTTCCTCAGTGACACCGGCCGCGCTGAACCTCTGCCAGGCGCCACACGGTCCCGTATAAACCACTTCCTGTGAGCTGCCAGAGGTGCGACTACGTTGTGTCTCTCTGAGCGTGAACAGAAACAAAAACTGATGCACCCGCCTGGACCAGAACGAAGCCACCGCCACCTCACAGCAGCTCATCCAGCCACTCGTGCAACATGAAGCTGAGCGACCTTTGACCCTGTCTGCCTGTTGATCAGTGTCACAGCATCCTGCGTTGGTAAAGGACCCTGAGAGAGGTGCTGCCATCTGAGATGCTCCCGTGGGACATTTTGTTGTTTTTACTCGACGATCATTAAAAATGTTTTTATTCTGAGGAGGTACACTCAGCTCTGCCGCTGTCGGGTGGAGGCCAGCACCACCCTGTCTCATTGCAGGAAACCCCACTAACCAGACCTGGTTTCAGTCTGACGCCGCTGCGGCTCAACGATGGCGCAAACCATAACCGGGATTATTTTACTCACTGACCTAATTTGGATTATTTACCGTGGTCATCTGAACTTTATTAAACCTGGAAGGACAAACGGGGACACGCAGAGGACAGCAGGCCCAGACCAGCCTCATCGCAACCAACCAATCAGCAACCGGAACCCAGGTTACTGATCCTCAGGGTCCTGCCCCCTCACGGAGACAAATCAGCCTCGGTTAGCGTTGCCGCATGCAAGCTGCAGAGACTCAAAGCCAACAGCCGCACAGGTGCTCACTGAAAGGTTTGAACCTTCATTTCTGTGAGCTTCTGTTCCGCTCAATGACCTGTGATCACATGCCCTCCAAACGTCCAATCAGGGGTGGGAAGAGCCCAGCTGGCTCGAGCTGAACTAAACAGCGAGTGCATATGAGCTTCTGCTGAGGAACAAACACAGTGATCATCTCCACAAAATCACAGCTGACATTAAAACACGATTAACCTCTAACGTCCACGCTTCCTGTCCGACGGGCAGCGGGGTCCCTTCAGCTCGGCAAACATGGCAGAAAAGCAGCTGAGGAGGAGCTGCAGCAAACACGGCACGGAAACATGGCTTTACGGCGCCGTTTAGTTCAGGCACAGGAAGTAAACAAAAACACGAGCTCATCTTTAATCCCACTGGCTGATTAGCTGTGTGGGCGGGCAACCATCTATGTCCAGGTGAATTCACCATCAAGCGCAAAAGACATGTGGCATGTTTGAAGTTTAAAGAGAATATCTGGTGTTTGTGGATGCTGGTCTCATCTTTGATCCACGCCACCAACAGCTGCAGTGCACCTTCACCTTAGACTGTAAACTACGCCTGTCTCCATATTCTGACTGTTTACAGACAAACGGATCAATCAATCAGTGAAAACTAACCAGCAGATGATCTGATTGACTCGATCAGCACCTGTGGGATTATTGGAACCAGATTAGGGTTGACTCTCGGATGGAACAGGTACAGGTGAGCGCTGCTGTTGCCTGTGTAGGTATTATCCCTCTGCTCTGTGTGCCAGCTTAATGTAATCCAGCTGTATACCCCGGGACCGATGAGGTGCAGCTCTCTGGTGTCAGCTGGTCAGAGTACTCACCTGCACAGGTGCACAGTGTTTACAGTGTGCTGATTAAACGGACCTAGTGCATATTTTGGTGTGTTTTTCACTTTTCTAGCTGCTGTGCGTGTACCTGCCCAGGTGTGCCGCTGGACACCAGGTGAGCTCAGTGTTGTGTCTGGTCAGGTTAAGGTCTCAGGTGAGCCTCGCTGGGTGGCTGTGTGTGGGTAACCTGCTGGTTAGCATGCTAATAAGCTCGCCTGTCACAGCGGCCGTGGAGCCCGGTACTGCCGCCTGTGAGCCCGCTCACAGCCCCACACGCTCGGTGCGGCCTCGGTGAGGGTACCGGGAGCCGTTCGGTGGTTCTAACTCGCTGTTTAAAGGCTTTCCTCCGGCCCGGAGCGGCTAGCGCTTAGCCGTTAGCTCGCTCGGACCGCCCAGTTGACTGATCACTTCTCTGTTAGCGTTAGCGTGCAGGCTAGCTGTTAGCAGCCCGGTCCGCGGCGCGCTAGTGGCGGGTCGGGATGGGCGGCAGGAAGCGGGACGTTTAGCGAGCCGCGGGAGTGTCGAGAGAATAGGGAAGAAGCGTCCTTACTGATTCGATGCAATTCTCTTTTTCCTCTCCAGCTTTCAGCCAACTTAGAGCGACGACTTCAAAGCCAGCAGCGAACTTCTGCCAACCTCAGCCTCCGTTTGACACGCCTGGCACGGCCGGGTCTCCGGCGGAACATTCCCGGCGGAGCACGGAGGGAAAAGCGCGGTTTTTACTCCGAAAACTGGCGAAAAATTAAAGTTGAAGCGGTCGCTCCGTCACGGAGGCCATGTTTGGGAGCAACCGAACCACCGCCTGTCAGTGCCAGCAGAGGAAGTAGGTCCCGCAAAACACGTCCCGCCTCGCCGGGCCGCACGCTCCCGTCAGACCCAGACACGGGCGGCGTGTACCGAGGATCGGCCTGTGAAAAGTGCCGGTGTGCAAGCCTCCACGCGGGCACCGGGAATATTTGTTTGTGTTGTGTAAAAAGTGTGTCTGACCCCGCGGAGGGATCAGTTGGGGGACTGCTCTGGTGAAGCGGCTCTGTCAGCAGACCTGGAAGTCCCGGAGCGGAGCGCGAGGATCCGGACCGCGCCAGGCACGTGCCCGAGCACGGAGCAGAGGGTCGGGGTCAAGGGTCAGGTTAGTGTCGACCCGAGAGCGCCACGCCTGCAGTAAGAGGTTCCGGTTATTAGCCACTAAAGTTTAAAAGAGCCAAACTGTCCGTGACAGTGACGTCATCACCCTCATCACAGGGATGCTGACGTGGTGGGCGTGTCTGTCTTGGATAACACTGATGGTTATGATCGTCGTTTCATGTATTATGTATGTCAGACAGGAGAGAACAAGCTCCGCCCACAGTACCAGTATACCTGCAGCACCTGGAGCTGACGCCACACCCACCTCAGTTATTATTAATTAATCTACAATCTGCTGATGGGTCTGAGTGGAAACAAACACACAGGTCACAACATACATGTCCAGTTTATTGAACACAAACACTAATGCTGACCCTTTGGCCCCTAACAATGACCTCATCCTGACCCCACCCCCTCCATTTTCCCTGTACAGTCCCACCTGTGCAGCTCATTACAGTCTGCTCCTGTTTCCACTGTGGGCCGAGCAGCAGTCAGAGCACAGAATCACATCACACAGAAAAACACGCAGATGAAGTAAACAGTCTGTGCTGTGAGGGGCGTGTCTGCGGCAAGGGCTCAAATGTGATTGGTCCCTCAGCCAGATGACGGACATCTCCCTGATCCATGATTGGACCAGAGTCTGAGTTACTGACGTGCAGCACATTTGTTCTCCTCGGACGCCGACAGGAACTCCACTCCTGCCTCCGTCACACAGAAGAAGCTGCTCCAGGAGACCTTGACCCTCGAAGAGAAGGTGGTGCAGTGGACGGTGAAGATCTGCTGTCTCCTCTGCTCCTGGTCGTGTCCTCCTTCGGCAGCCATGTTGTTTCCTGGCTCCTGCCTGGAGCACAGCAGCCGGTGGGTCACCAGCCTCTGCCAGGAGCGGCAGAGGTACGACCGCTCGGAGTCTGAGGAGGAGGAGGGGACGCCGGGCCTCCTGATGGCGTGACAGGTGGCGAAGACAGTAATTCTGTAATCCCTGTGGAGTAGGAGGAGTCAAAAATCAGAAAATTAGTGAGCCACAGTCCAGAACAGAACCACCACAGGCTCCACTCAGGTATTTGACCCAGCAAAACACGAACAAACCAACATTTTACACAAACACTCGTCAGAGCGTGAGCGATTGACCAGCCAACACCCTGACCTACGGTGCTGACACTGCAGTTTGACCACCAGGGGGCACTCTGCACATGTGTTTGTACCTGAAAGAGAAAAGCTGCGCACATGACCGTGATCATATCAGAGCTCAGCGGAAGCCTTCAGAGTGGTGGTGATGTCACGCAGCGCACTGTAACGCATGACCTGCGAGCAGCCTGAATCAGTCTAACTCCACCCACCTGAGCAGGCGTCCCAGCAGCTCCGCACACCTACTGAGCTTCTCCTCCTGTTTGGTGTAGCTGGCCCCACCCTCGCAGCGATCCACCCAATAAAACGCGGAAATGCTGTCTATGAGGATGAGCGCCAGGGCGGGCCGTGATGACAAGGTGGTCTCCAGGAAGTGGAGGGTGAGGAGGAGCTGTGAGGAGGAGTAGCAGTGAACAAACAGGAGGCGGGACAGACATGAGCGCAGCGCCGCCTCGTCTGCTCCGGCCAACAGCGCTAAGGACCCGGAGAGAAAGGGTTAGTGTGTAACTTCCTGTTTGTTTGTGTGTGTGTGTGTGTGTGTGCATGCGTGTGCATATACCTGCGCTCAGTTTGCTGTCCAGGATGCTGACCAGGTGTAACATGTCTAGGCTGTAGTCGGTGTCCACAAACACCACATCCACCTCCAGACCCCCAGCTGCCTCCGGCAGCACGCAGCGGCACAGCAGGTGATACAACAGCTCCGTCTTACCTGAGCAACACACACACACACAGTTTACATTCAGGTTAAAGGTGGAGGCACTTCCTGCATCGTGAACTCACCTGTGCCCTCCAGCCCAAACAGCTCCACCACCGCACCTGAGAGCAAGAAACAACACATACAGTGAGACAGTCACCTGACTGACAGCATGTGTCAGCTGTGAGTGGGTGGGCGTGGCCAGTCACCTTGGTCGGGTCCTCGGTCTTCCGGAAACAGACGAGGCTCAATATCCTTAAGGCAGCGCCGTGCCTCCAGACGAGCTAACAGCTGACAAGACGCACACACCGTTACACTCTGCTCCAGGATATACACTCTGCCATATTACACTCTGCTATATACACTCTGCTCCAGGATATACACTCTGCTATATTACACTCTGCTCCAGGATATACACTCTGCTCCAGGATATACACTCTGCCATATTACACTCTGCTCCAGGATATACACTCTGCTCCAGGATATACACTCTGCCATATGACACACTGCTCCAGGATATACACTGTACAGATCATTACACACTGCTGCAGCACGTAGACTGTACCACACTACAAACTAAACACGTGTTTTGAGTTTCCGGCAGCATCTCCAGCTGTGCAGAGCTCTGCTCAGTGAAGGTCACAGCAACACACCTGTACCAAACTCGAACAGGTAACTGTCTGTTTTCTTCCTACATCGCTTGTAAGCAGACACACACCCTCTGACAGTTACCGTCACGCGGTGCTAACAGCGCTCTCATCTCGCTAACAGCGCGGTCACGTGACACACAGGCAAACACGGGCTTCGGTTTCTCACCTGAGCGCCGCTCTCGCTCATCTCAGCAGAGCTCCTTCTCCTTCGGGACCCGCCACGGCTGTTTTGAACTGACTTCCGGTTTCCGCCATATTGCGACCGCCACAGCAACCGGAAACACGTGATCTCCACAGTAGCCGGAAACACGTAACTTCAGTTAAATCGACTTTGACAGGGAAAACTAAATTGTGTTTTTGTTACTATTGATGCTGCTGAAAAATAAATTTGGTTCTAAGTGTTTTAACACTCTGGGTTTATTTAAAAAAATCACCATCCCTTCAGCTCGTTTGTGGCCAAAAGTGTCCATGTGTTAGATTAGATTAGATTAGATTAGATAGAACTTTATTAATCCCTCGGGTGGGTTCCTCTGGGAAATTCGATTTCCAAAAAAGCACAGCACCGACAGAAGTTACAGAGTTATACACACACACATATATATATAAATACAGAGACAATATAAATAAAATATACGAAGGGGATAAATAGAATAAATAGGAATAAAAATAAAAATACAAGTGAATTGCACATTTCAAGTATTGAAAGTTATGTTTTGTCAACGCGAGAGTTGAGCCTCGGGTGTGAAATGTATGGTTTTCAGGGTTTTCCTCGGTTTCCCTGGGTGTCTTCCCGTGTTGTAGTTGTGTCTTATTTTGAAAGGATTATTTACGCGTTACCATAGCGCCCAGAGAGCATTAAGGGGCAGAGAGGAGGATGTTACTCTCAATGTTGTTGGCGCATTTCAAGAGGACACTGCTAATAAAATTACACAGCTGAATTCGCGTTTATTATATTTACAAAATACCACAGTTTTTGTAAATATAACTTCGCGGATTTCACCTACCGCGGGTTATTTTTAGAACGTAACTCCTGCGATAAACGAGGGACCACTATATTATTAATAGTAGAGTCTGGGACATTTAATTGATTAACATCAACATTATTGAGCACTATTATTTTTGTTCAAGGAGAGCAAAAACTATAAAACTCTCTCACCTTGTTCGTTGCCAAAAATGGCAACTTTTGTGTGTTTTTTTTTTTTTACAAAATGCTGTAAAATGTATATTTATTAAAACATTGATCTACTTTTACCGACTTGACTCTTTAAATTAGCTCCAGTCCTTTTCTTCAAAAAACCAAAATTTTATCTATATTCTTTTTTTTTTTACTCTTTAAATGCCAGTTAGGTCATATATTACCAGTAACTTTTCATAAAAAAACAGTTATAAAGTCCTAATAGTTTCATAAATCTTCGTATTTATTTATTTTTTTTCATATAAGCATCGGGGACAAAGCTGTCTTGCAATTGTTGAGGTCACTATAGTGTGGGCCCTTTTTCTTCCAGGATCACTCTTCATTTGTAGGTTTAGAGGTCTCCTACTACTGTGAAGTGATTTTCATGGGACAAAGGCTTGTATTCCAAGATCTGGGAGATTGTAGAGATGAGCAGTGATGCCCTTCTTACCATCTTTCCAGAAAAATAAGTGATCTAGAAGCTGTTAGGCTGACTTACAGCAGCAGCACTTTCTGCACCTGCATAAACTCCAGGACACATTTACTAACAGTTTTTGTTGCTGTATGTGCTGCAGCTTTGATTTTTTTACTATAATCATATTTTACTCTACAAGAGTCAAAGTGTTTTTAGCAGGTGCTTCAAAGCAAAGTTTGACTGTGACACTCAAAGCTCAACAGCCTGTATCAACAAAAATTCTCTGCAGCCTGTGTAATATTTGATGCGTCATAATTTATTCCAGTCTGTCTTGCAAATACATGTTTGCGTTGCAATGTCATGCACAACACACAACTATTAGACCCTTAAGATCAAACCTGTGTCATTCTTTTGGTCCACTGCAGTGTAGTAGTCAGCACAGAGCCCAGAGGGTTATACGTAAAATGTATAAAAATATTATTGATTACAGGATAAAACATAAATGTTAATAGCAACTGTAACCTTTTTACTTTGAAGTTACAAGTATAAACAATGCTGTTACATTTACACTAAAATTTTTACTATAAGTATGGAAACAAGTGAACAACATTTTATAATAAGCTTAACTGGAATTCTGTACACTGAAAAACAAACAGCACATAAAAACCACAAACAAACAGCCAGTGCCTTCATCTGTCCATCAAGTGTCAAACATCACATTGACCTGTAGTCTCTGCTCGTCAGCACATGCTTTTAAAAAGAGCTCCATGTCCTCTGCAAACTGAGAAACAAAGAGGAGGAAGTCCCTCTACACAAACACTGCAGATGACAGGCCAGGCAAACATCTGTTGACCTGTTTGAATGCCTCCTCATCATGTGAGTCTTGAAGTTTTTTTGTAAGAAGAGTAAGACCAGAGTGAGGG